CCCTCGCATATCCATTGTTCCATATGGCAGCTTAAGAACTTAAGAGTACACTCGCACAGACTAGATTTTGAGACAAATTGTTGGGATGATTAGTTGAGATATCTTCAGAAACTAAAAGGAGCGCAAGGACCTAAACATATCTTTTAGTATAAGTATGGAAGCTTAACGATACCAGCTTTTGGGTCTCTGCTTGGAATCTTGATCAAGTAATCCTGCTTTAATATATTTTACTGAAATACAACTGGTTTTACAGGTTATTTAGTTATATCTGATTTGAAGATGGGACTTTCTTCCAAACATACATTTTGTTATCACCATAGCTTGTTTCCCGACAGATTATTTTGCCAGCTATTGTTCGTATTTAACATCCTTATGAATTTTTCTACATTAACAAGCTCAAGCTATTTGCATACTCGGTACCCAAGCAGCACAGCGCAGGGGTACTTATTAATATTCAATGAGATTTATATGTTACAACACCATGAAGGAAGCACTTCAGACCCCATGAAGACTCCCTATGTATATATTCTTGATCAGCATCACTACGAGTATGAGAGCTAGAGCAACCGGATTTTGTATGAAAATTTCTGTGGCATCACATTGAATCAAGTTTTTTTTCAAAATTTTGAACCACCCTAACCCCTCCTCGAATCCTAACAGATATCTGGCATCCACAGAAGCAAAAATAATAAAAATCATAGTATATACTAGATAAACAAACAAAAAAACAAGTCGAATCGCCAGTGAAACCGAACAGCGGGTATCTAAGAGTCGATGCACGTATGGGTCAAATCAAAGGTTTCGACTGGTTTTGTTTGACGCATTCAAAGCACCTTCTTCTTTGTTCATAAAGTTACTCATTACTCTCTTAAGCGGGAATTTTCTGAATAAATTTACCGAATTCCACTCTTTCTCCAGACATCCGTCGATATTATATATTCGAATTGTGTGGAAAGTGGATGTGTGTAACGCCCAGCATCAATAACCGTCTGTCCGTCCGTCAGTCCGTCCATCCGTCCGTCCGTTCGTCCGTCCGTCTGTCCGTTTGTCCGTCTGTCTTGTTTGACGCCTAGTGCTCAGATTCTAGAAGAGCTAGAAAAACCAGACTCCTGCGTGGAGTTCCAAGTGCCCCCTTCCGCTCCCTCCAAAGGACGAAAATCTGTGATATACACAGTTTTATTATATTATATATTTATATTATTATAGATGGAGTCTCTCACACACACTTTGTCGTGCATTATGCGCGACCTCTGGCGGAGGGGAGCTGTACTGACTGAGTATCGGTTGTAAAAGTAGAGTCGCGGCCGCGGCAGGGACTCACAACGTTTCCACTCTTTTTTTAAATTGGGCTGCGTTTATGTTCAAATTGATTGCTTTAAATTTTAACCATCCAAATTTGGTGATTTTGTATTTTTAGCTTCGTGGGTATAATAGCAGAAAAGAAAGCACTCGTGACGTTGGGAGTCGACACTTCGTTCCTGTCTGTTTATTTACAATCTTCTGATTTATGTAACTTACAAAATATTACCCTGCACTCCGTCCATCCTCTTTCCAACTGACCAATCACCAATAATCCAGTTATTGCCGTACAGTATCATATACATACTGACTTATGAAAGAAGGACCGTTTGCAGCATTTCGAATATGAAATTTTGAAACATTTTGAAGCTCGGACATGGACATGAAATTCAATATTAGCCTTATCAATAATACATACATACATGCACATATGTACGTGTGTGCATATGTATATATTTACTTCGCATACATACATATATATATATATATATATATATATATATATATGTATCTATGTATGTATATATACGCTTCTGTTTTGCCTCCTGTATTTACAAATAAACATAGTCGAAACCAGACTGATAGATTTAATAATAGTATTAGTATTATAATCAAATGTTGTAACGGTAGAATGTGATTTTTGGAGGGTTGGTCAAACGGCTGCATATTAGCCGTTTATCCAAAGATTTAAAAAATGTTTAAACGACGTTGAATAAATGTGCCCTTACGAAGAAAATGTGAAAACCCCAAGAAACTAAGAAAACTTCTGAAAAATACCTGCCAAAAAGATTCATTTTAAACGAGCTTCAAGCAAATGCGTTGCATTTTTAAAATATGTTGCTACCATATTTCGACCATATTGGTTTTTTGAGGTTAAAAAAAAACCTGACGTGAGGGAGCAAATCTGACCTTGGTTTAGTGTTCAGGGCCCCAAAATACATACGGATTTGATACTCTGGTCGGCCGCGCACGAATCTTTTTATTTTGTGGGGCTGTGCTATTTTTAAATGAATATTTCCTTGTTTTGATAGCCGATTTATTTAAAGCTAACCCTGTGAAAAAAAAAACATTTCACACATTTCAACAATTTTAAAAAGATCTTAATCATAAAGAACAATAATTAAATAAAATTTATTGGACCCCCTATAGAAGATGATACTAAAGGAAAATATGACTTTAAAGCTGCCATAAAAGTGAACTTTTCCTAATGTTTATAGGCTTTAAGTTCAAAGTTAATCAAATAATATGTCTATTGGTTAAATTATTTAACTATTTTAAATTTAGATTAATTTAGAAAATATTATCGGGACAAAAGTTTTTTTATGGAAAACGGTTTCTATTGACTGGTACATGCATGGTATGCTGGAAAGTTTAGAGGGAATGGCTAAGTACTATGTACTACTACGTATTTATTTTTTTTTTCAATTTAAATTTTTGTTTTTTTTTATGTATGTATGATCAATAAAATATTTTGAAGCCAACAACCATTTGGACATGGACTAACAACGAAATAAGTTACTTGGACACGTCTAAGTGTCATCTTGTACTTGACTGGATCGGGGTTTTATAAAACAAACCTAACTATCCTGATCCTGATCCGGCACCAGCTGTCCGATTATCAAACTTCTGTAGTAGAACGCGAATAGATTGACAAGACGGAAGTGGTGGGAAGCCACTCATATTCCTAGCCCAAACAGTCAAAAGTGATCCGAACTCCGTGTCATTCAAATCAAAGAAGTTGATGTCACGTTTTGTTCTAGTTTCTAGTGTGTACGTGGATATAGTTTCTGAACATAAACAAACACTGCAACACCAATTTAAGTTAGGGCCAATCTAAGAAAACGATTTAAAAACAATTGTATTTCAAGTAAATTATATCAAACTAAATTTAAAAAAAATTTAAATTTTATAAATTAGGTAACAAAGTGATATGGATTAATCAACCTAGCGCCGTGGTGGGATACTCATACAGATGTACAATATGTACATATGTATTCTTGTGCTTACATGTGAATGTAACTATGCAATTAAAAAGTCGGGCTATATGGTTCGAAGTAGGGTCGTGGAGAATTGTATAGCTAGAGAATATGTTTAGTATTTTTTATATATAGTATATAGTATAGTATGTTTGTACGCGAATGTGTGCATGTAATTCGGTAACTTGTGAGATGCATTCTCATATGAAGTTTGTTTAATGTTTTTTTTTTTCGAATTCCCCTTCTATTCCCAGAGATGAAAAAATATCCAGCTTTACCCAGAATTGTAAAGATTAGGAACTCTGGCTGTTTTAATACATAAATATACTAGAAAGATATATACCTCCCAATTAAAAATGAATAAGCTGAACAGTGGAGGATGGAGAATTTCCAAAACAATTTCAAACTTTACATAGCAAAATAATAAATACATAAAATAAAATAATAGTAAAATAGCCGTAGGTGTTCTATAGTTTTCAGTTTTATCGTATCTTCAAAATTGTGGATGCCACAGATTTTCGTCCATTGTGGGGGCGGAAGGGGCGAGGAGTAATTTTGAAATACACTTGTAACTCCAGACAGGAGTCGGTGTACAAAATTTGGTTGCTCTAGCTCTTATAGTCTTTGAGACCTAGACATCAAACAAGACGGGCGGACGGACGGACGGACGGACGGACGTACGGACGTACGGACGGACGGAGGGACGAACAGACATAGCTATATGGCTCTTGATGCTGATCACTAATATGCATACATATGTATATACTTTATAGGATAAGGTAAGGGTGCGTTACACACATCCAATTTTCCCACAAACCTAATATACCCCAATACTCTTTTGAGTATCGGGTATAAAAATGCGGGGGAACGTTGCGAGTCGCAGCTACGGCCACGACTCTACATTTATACCCGATACTCAGTCAGTATGGCTTCCCTCCGCCAAAAGGCTCACACATTCATGACGAAGAGTGTAACCACTAAAAATTGATTTGTTTCATCTGGCTAATAATAATCCGATCTGACCCAGATTCGGCTAGATATGGGCATTCTCTACGATTTTGCGATTTTGGTTTGTCGTATCTTCAAAATTGTGTATGCCACATATTTTCGTTCGTTGTGGGGGCGATAGTGGGCGTGGCAAAATTTGGAAAAAACTTAATTCAGTGTGATATAGCAAGAGTCTTTGAGAACTTGGCATCAAACTAGACGGACGGACACACGGAGAGACAGACATACAATGTAGCTTTATCGACTCGGCTTTTGATGCTGATCAAGAATATATATACATAGTACATATACAATATACATATGTATGCTATATGGGTCGAAGGGAAGGCCCTGTGTTACACACATTCACTTCCACCATTTATCTAATGTATCTCTATAATCTTTAAGTCTTGGATTTAAAAAATATTTAGGCATAAAAAATAGACAGATTGCAAAACCAGTTTACAAATAAAAAGATATCTGCGGCCAGCCGCTTCGATATGCTATGCTTGTCCGCCCATGACTCATCGGCGTTGCCGTCATGCGGTGTGCTCAGTTCCGAGCAAGCGCAGGTCAAGCTCCATCTTTTGTGAGAGAGGCTGTGCAGTGTATCTCTGGCTCTGCGAGTCCAGATGGAACAGGATAGGACAGGATGACTTTCTCGCAACTTCCTCTGGGCGCGGGAAAGGTATACATATGTATGTACATGTGATATTATATATTATTATTTGAACTTACTTTTGTACAAGAATTTTGAGTAATCACAGTCCATGATGTTGGCGTGGATTCAATTAAGTGGATTCAATTTCTGGATTTTATTGCAATTTTAGTTTTTCCAGCTTATGTTGAGACCCATATGGCTCTTGACGCCGCTTTCATTTAACTGAGTAAGTATTCAGGCGGATTTACTCAATTAATTGATTACACATTACATGAATTTTCACTAAAAACCTTCATTGGCGTCGGCTTTCAATCCAAGGTCGTTGTCGCATCTACCAGTACCTTGATTCTTCTTTGTATTTGTTTTGTATCACTTTACGCTTTCGATGAAGAAACACAAAAGTTACTGCCGTGCACAAAAGTAAAATAGTAGAACAGTCAAAACCGTGGGTTGGCAGCGGCAGACAAAAACCAGCACATAGAATCAAAACTTTGTCGTTTGCTTTGACCATTTGCCGTCGGCGTAGGCACTGCCGTACCGCACTGACTTGGTGAAAATGACTCCGAATCTCATGAACCCTTCTTGAGGGAACTTTTCGAGTTTGGATGGACTCCTTTCAATTAGTTATTTCATTAGTTCCTTGTGTTCTTGTCGCTCCTATACTAACGCTTGTAGCAAGCTGGAGACACAGACTGCGGCTACGATGACGATTACGATTACGATTGCGATTACGATGTCGAGATCACCAGTATACAAAAAGGTTCGACTGTCTGTGAAGCCACTTGTTATGCCTCTTGTTTTTGTTTTGATTTGTTGCTTTTGTAATTTAATACCACTTGGAAATCATGTATAACATTAAGATTTGCAAGTTTTCATGGCTATTTTTCATGCTATTTTTTCACAGTATTATGTGCTACATAAGTACGTATCCGATGTACATATGTATATAAAATAATTAACTGTATGTCAACGAAAAACTTCTCTGGCTGTTACTGTTGTTTCCAGTGCTAAAGCAGCAAAATTCTTGAAAATGTTTCAATGCGTTATATTTGTATGTATGTACATATGTTTGCACATTTTGCGAATACGTATAGGTGCACATGCATTATTTTACATGAATATACAATATAGATATGTATCTTGTGGTGTGGGTGTCATCCTAATAGTCCCACATACATTACAGGTGTCGCTGTCTGTTCCTTTCCCGTTTGAAGCTTGACTACATATCTATAAGTGTATTTACATACATACATACATCTGTATTTAATTATTTCTCCGCGAACGTCGTGTAATGTCTATGCTATTGAATGGAATATAAATCGAAGGGGAAAAGCAGCTACATACAGCTACGTACATATTTGATAAAATGATTATTCAGTAGAAGCATATCGTTAAAAGGAGTACACTATTTTGGGGGAGATTTTGTTTGGTTTAATTTCGGTTTCGTTTGGATTGCAAAAGCGATGAGTGCAACAGTTGGGCAGTAGCCGACCTGCAACCATTTTGCACTTCTTTAAAAACTGTCATATAAGTACACGGAAAAAATAGAAAAAAATGAGTGTGCCAAGAGGCGCGCGGGAACAGTATGCACAATATCAAAAAATACGGCTTAGAACAAATCCACACGAACAAAGACGGACACATCAACATGCACGAGAACATATGCAATACAATTATAGCTTTCCATCTCGCGCCGCCGTCGCAGTCGCCCCGCCACCGTTCTGCCCTATGTGCCCTTGATGTGTTGCGAATTTAACTAAATTTCGTTTGCCTGGCAGGCACCCCGCCGATCGGCAAGGCAGAACACGCTTTGAGTGGTTTGTATGCGATTTATCAGGGAAATATAGGCATGATTTTCTTGAGCTTTTCTTTTCTCGGATCGACTGATGGCTGGAAAGTTGGCTGGTACATGTCCACGCGTCGTTCTATTCCCGACCATTAAGCTGTCCGACCCGAATCAAAAACGACCAGCAATAGACGAACCGTTGAAGTTGGGTAGTAATTAAACTCGTACTTCACGCACTGAAGACATTTTTTTTACTTTGCAATGACATACATACATATCTATTTACATTGGTATTTGTACGTGCGGTAGCGTTCCGCCTGTTCTTTTATATCGCCTACACCAATCAGTTTTTAATTTTAATTCTTTTAAATACGTGCTAAACGAGCTTTCGCTTACGAAATGACACCAACACAAGCGACGGTATAAACAAAACTAAAAATACCAAATTAGCTCAAAATGTATTTCAGGCAAAAATTAAAACAGCAAAAGCGCTCATTGAGCATACGACGTCCCGACCGATTCAGCTCAGCGAGAGTTCGAGCGAACGAAAAAGTGAACGAGCAAGTGAGCAGGCAAAAACTGGTGGCACTTGCGTTGGAGCAGGGAGGAGAGAGACAAAAGCTTCCAGTGGTCCCAAGAGATTGTTGGATACGCGTGGGACACACAATCGCACCACATACACGTTGGCAGAAACAACACGGCAAGTGTCACTCGTATACTGTACGTATGCATACATACATATGTATGTACATATGAGTGCTGTGCTGTGCTGTGAGAGAAATAGCCAGAGAGACAGCGCATGCGAGAGTGAGTTCCAAGAGTCGCATGAATCAGATTCGTTTCCGCTGTTGTGACTTGGCCGCCACCGAGTTCCGCTCAAACACGTGCCATGCCGAACCGAACGATACCGACTAAAATTGAGTTGAGTTGAGTGTGGGAGCACAAGTATAAGAGACAGCAGAACTTTTGATTGTTAATACATACATACATATGTATGTATGTACAAGGGCCATATCTGCAGAATGTTTATGGGGGGCACCTGATTACTTGATTTTCAACTCTCAATTTTATCGCTACTAAAGTTGGTTCTTTCAAATATTAGGTTATCCCTAAATTTCTACTATTTCATTGCTTTTAGGAATTCATTTGACCAATGGAAATTTACGAATCATAGTCATGAGAAAACGAGAAAGGAGCTTCGGGGCTTTGATGCTTTTTCAGATTTTTCTAAAAGCTACTGCTGCTGCACATGTACATATGTACATATGTATGTATGTATGTATGTATGTATGTATGTATATAAGTACACATGTACATATTTGTCGCTGGCCATTAAATCAATGCTTCTTGTCAGTTTGAAAAGTCTGGTCATATATTTACATATCTCTATATATCTATATTTATTGATATTATGAGTAATAAAATAGATATATGTATGTACGTACAGTTTAGTGACTATTTTTTTTGTTACAAAAAATACTTCAAATTTGTATTTTCCAACGTACCGAACGATGTAAGACACTTTGTAACGGTAAAATGCCCATTCGGTAGGGTTTTTCGAACTGCTGCAGCTTTGCTATGTAGCCATATCTTTATATTAATGATACTTTAAACGACGACCAATTTACGTGCCTACACGAATAAAATATACATATAACAACAAGAATTTAATTTTATACGAATAAAATATAAAACAACAAGAATCTAATTTTTCGGACTTTTGCTGAATTTTTAAAAACACAATTTCAATAAAATATACTGAAAATGCTATAATTATGGTATTTGAATGCCTATTATTTTTAAGTTGTTGGGCTTAACATAAAATGTATTTAAAGCCGATTTACAGCTGCATTCATTGGCTTTTTAGAATTAAATCGTTATTCCTTAAATTTAGCATACTCAAGTTAAATACATACATATATACATATAAGTTATCTATATGGAAAAACGCAACGTCAACATTAAAAAAATTGAATTCTTAAAAAAAAACCTTAAAACAGAAATTTTGGAGCCCCAAATCTTTCGAATATAAAAAAATATATACTATATATAATATAACTAGGTGGAAGGGTACATTGCATTGTGGAGAAAACTCATTTTGTATACCGGTACTCGAAGAGTATAGGGGTACATTCGATTTGTGGTGAAAGTGGATGTGTGTAACACCCAGAAGGAAGCGTTTCCGACTCCATAAAGTATGCAATATAGCCAGACTTAAAAATATAAATTGAAAAAATAAGACTATGTTTTCCAACACACACAGTCAGCCAGTTAGCAAATTTGGCTCTGAAAAGTTCAAAAATTGATAATCTCTGCAGCAGCGCTGTTCCCAGCTCAACTGGAAAGACAACTGGATGCAAATCTCTCCTTCTCATTGCATGCTTTTCCCATAAGGCTGTAAGGAAGTAAGTAAAGTCTAATGTCATGCAGCAATAACAGCTGACGTAGCCCGACATTGTTATCGATACTTCACGTTTTGGCAAACGTTGCATTAACCGAACCGAGCTGCGACAGGACGAAAACGCAAAGTGTTTTTACCCTGACCAATTATTTCAGATTTTTTTCCTTTTGCAATTAAGATTCGTTTTGTTGTATAAAATGCGGAGGAGTACTTTTCCGTTTTCAAAAGTAAATCGGAAATCTTTTGTGAAAGTGAAAACCGGAGCATGGCTTTTTCGATTTTTTCCACTTTGAAAAAAGGAAGATCTAGCCCGAAATTGGCTAAACTGTCAGCACTGAACCGAACACGTCAGTTACCACAGCCAAGACCTGGGACGCAACGCAGTGTATTCTGTTGGTACATTTTGGATGGATGAACAGACGCATCTACACAAATACTGTATGGTTAGTAGTACTACTGGGGACCAAAAATAAAATAATACTTCAAAAATATCTTATCTTATCTTTCATTCGAATATCACGAGTATATTTGATCTATCAACGTGAAACTACAGATTTGCTCGAAACTCAGAAAAATAGGTCCGTTGAAAATATATATCATTTCGCAAATATTATTTACAAAATATATATATCGATATATTGATATTGCAATATATAGCATCAGTGTTGCCAGATTTTGATAGTCACCATAAGCTAGATTGAAGAAAAAAATAAGCTAGAATAAGCTAAAAGTTTTAAAGAAAGCTAACCGTAAAAACACACTAAAATAATGGATAATTGAATTTTATTGATATTTATGTTTCAATTTTTAATTAAAGTAATGATATAATTTTATCCACTTCATAATGCTATGGCCGAGTGCTCAGCAATGTAAAAACAAAGTGCAGTCTTCTGCTCCTCTGTTTTTGAAGAATGTCAACCAAACGTAGTCTGTTAGTTTGTGCAATGCTTGCATTAGACGCAATATGTTTTTTAGCGACAGCATGCTGCCGTATTTCGTTCAACTTGGGCCCCAATTGTTGCCTTACAAAAGCAGCAGTACGATTTTGTGGGGTCAATTGGGACATTGAGTAGCCACTCCTTAAATTCATTGAAATTTAACCAGAAATTGTGGAAATTTTGTCTATAAGACACTTTCGGAATTTTGGTGTATGTAATGTGTAAACATGTACATTTATCAACGAAAAATTACCATACATTTATACACAAAATTTGATGATATACAAAAATACGAACAAAAAATATGATTTTTGTCCGATTTCTCGATAAAAATTAACAAAAATAAAAATTGTTTTGTACTAAATTATTTTAAGCCAAAATAAGCTAAATAGTTTAAAATCAGCTATATTGCAAGCTATAAGCATTTTAATTGGTTTTCAAGCTATTTGGTTGTAAAATAAGCCAAATCTAGTTTAAAATAAGCTAAAATGGCAGCAGTGTATAGCATCTCTATTCACCACTACTATATATTTTTGATAATTGATTTCATTAAAAATATAAGGAAGTGTACTGCCCGTGACTGAATATATAACAAAATCGTTGTCTGGTGCTGTCCACAATACAGTTAAAATTGCAACCAAACGATAGCAGCATCCCACGAATATGGCATTAAAAAATGGGAAAGGAAATGAAGAGCGTACGTTTGAAAAAAAAAACAAAAATATACATCGTACTAATGATAATTATTAATGTATTAATAAAGTCAATAATATGTCACATGAGGAGCTGCAAGAATGGACCACAAAAATCATATGCGAAGCTCAGTGCGAAAATTCAATGAACCAAAATCTGGAGTTAACACGCTTGTACTCTACTGATGTGCACTCTATAGTGGCATATTTTGAGCAAAATGCCATCGATGCAGCCATTGCTTGTCACGGACTTTTCATGGATAATGCCCGCCAAGAACCTTCCACAATCAATGATGAAGAGCAACAACCTCCAGTGCGTCGACAGCGCCTGTCGCTACCGCAGCAGCAGTCTACATTTAGCAACGATTTAATAAGACATATAGAGCCAGTGCACAATAAAAACTCATACGCTAAATCGCACAACAGGAGTCAGGATTTACACCTTTTCGAGGCGGTTATATTGGAGACAATTGACAGACTCGGCTTACGCCGCACAACTTAGCCAATGTTTTCGGGATTGTACAAACATATGTATAAACACACAAAAATAATTTTTTGATCTACAATCTTTAATTTGGGCTTAATTACAAGCGAATGTGTAGCTATAATTTTAGATTTAACCTTTTAATTTCTGCTGATTCGGGGTACTGGTACTTCGATTCTCTTTTAGGTTGTCCTTTGACTCTGCGCTCGGCCCGCTGCCTACTGGGCTTCGTATTTTTAGCCCGGTCCCAGAATCCTATATCAAAATACGCTGCCGTTGGCGTTGCATAACATGCAACATCTTGGTATTGTATAGTCTTTGCTTTAACTTAACCAATTAAAAGCAAAAATAAAAACTCAACATCAGACACACTTTTTTGATAAGACTTGAAGCCCCAAAACTTCAATGAATTATGTGTTTTTTTATTACTAGCGATTTTTTAGGTGTACCTCTAAACCTCAGCTTACTTCTAAAAAAACATCTAAAACAACACGATTTTTTCGAAAATCATAAAAAAAACGTAAAAAAGATAAAATAAAACTTAAGTTTCATATCGGTTTGAACGCGTGCGTCACCATTCGATAACAACTTTCAAATCTGCAAAACAAAAATATTTGTATATATTTTATTACTTAAAACCAGCAATTCAAATTAATTTTGAATCCATGAACTAGACATACATACAAATATTTTATTATTCCGTATTAAATCCGGAATAGTGCCCACAGGGTACGAGCTTCGTGGGCCATTGGCATTAAAAAAAATAGATCTCTCCTTATTTCTCCCCACTCCACATTTGGCCAGACGACCGATATTTTGGCATGAATTCAAAAATTACATGGAAACAACATTTTTTTAATGTATAAATAAATATAATGTTCTGCTCAATATTAAATTGATAGCAATAGAAATGCTATCACCGTTTTGAAATTGATATTTAAGCAACTTGAAACTTATATTTAACTCAACGGAGAAAAAAGAAATAAGTAAAAAAAAAATAATGAACAGAAATTTAAATCGAAATAAGCTTCCCAAATAGCGGTAGAAATATAAAAAATTTTAGGAGACGCATTTATTGTTGTTTATTGCCTTAAGTAGGCATAAATAGAAGAAATATACAAATACTTATAAAATATTCGCGTCAAAAAATATGCATAATACAACAAAAAATAAAATACTAAAAGCTACACTATGGGCGGTTGGGATGGATCAGTCTGAAATGTATATAATTTCGTATATATACCATTACAATTATTAATAAAGGCATATCCTTGCGAATTTGGATTAGGAGTCGGCGGCGGTACAGCATATAGCGGAGGAACAAGACGAGGTGGTGCTCCAGAAGGCGGCGGCCAAGGGGCATTAGGAGCTGGGCCTGCTGCCACAGGTGTCGAATTATTTTTCGAATTTATGCTGTAATAGGCTATTCACACTGACGCAATCCACCATCAATTTCGGGGATGGTCCGTAAGGTTTTGCCATTCCGAAACATTCCCAGTTAGTCCACCATCCATTTTGGATGTTTCTAAAATCCCACGTTTCTATGCGATAGTTAGCCGATGGTTTTTTAATTCAAATGGATCTAGCAGAAAACGGTGGCAGTAAGCTCAAAAAATATATGTATGTATGTATTTGTACCCCATAAAGTATATTTATTCTTGATCGGCATCAATAGTCGAGTCAATAGAGTCATGTCTGTCTGTCCGTCTGTAATGAGCAGCGAGTATTTCGGCGGTATGGTGCTACCGGATGACGGCAAGGGGGGTGGAGTTTTTGTTTGCCATAGTCTGAGGCCTTTAATTTTCTGTATTTTTAAATGTAACGTGCAGGACAATCCATACAATTTGCCGGACAGAGATCAGTACCTACGACAACATAACACGGACAATTACCAATTAGACAGACGGAAGATCCTCCAATTTTTCGAGGAACACTTTGCCCACCCTACCATGGTCATGACATCTCATAAACATCTCTGTCAGTCATGACCTCTTGGTACGCCGACGAGAGCTACAGAGGTTTAGAAGGGGAGATCATAAAAAAGGGATTCAGCTGAACATAATAATATAAAAGTATTTATTAAAACTAAATTCTGCATAATAAATTGAAATATAATTTCCCTCCCATAAAGGGCAACTTAGAAACTAAGAAAAGTCAAACTTATAAGTTAGAAATTCATGCAATATTAAGTTTTAAATAATAAGAGGTTGTTACGAAAATTTATAAAAATAAAATATATATATAATATATAATATATAAAATATAAATATAAAAATAAGTTTTGATTAATTGCTATAGGCCACAAACAAATAAAGAGAATTTGGTCGGAACAACCATAGATATATCCTTCCATACCAAAAAACTACTAATGCTGCAAAGCTGTGGTAAATATTATTTTGAGGTTCGGGTGCATTATTATTAAGTTTGGGATAAATTTCTGTTACTTTTTATACCCGATACTCAAAATGAGTATTGGGGTATATTAGATTTGTGGTGAAAATGGATGTGTGTAACGTCCAGAAGGGATCGTTTCTGACCCCATAAAGTATATAAATTATTAAATTACACCAGAACACAACGAGTATGCTGTTATTAGGTATTTTATTGAATATTTTAAGTAAACGATTCCTCAGAAGCGTTAGCTAGCTGAGTGGTATCAAACATTGGAGTTATGATAGTTATTGAATTCGGTAGCGGTAGCTGACCGAATATTATGAATGAGAATTAATTGATCGAGGCGAGCGATACGCTGCGATTAATTTGGATTCAAACTTAAGACTAATTATTAATGAAATTAAAAGCTATGATTGCAGCCGGCTTCTGAAATCAATAAATCGTCGAAAGTAGGGTGCACATGCCAAGCTGCCCCAAAAATTAAGATCAGTGTGCCGAAAAGCCGAAAAATCAGTGATTCTCCAGAGATAAACCCGGTTTCAAGCCCCAAAAGGGGTCTGAGCTTTGCCAGTCGATCTCGGTTTCTCCAGTGTAATTTAATATTGACGAAAGTTATCCAACGGAGGTCAAACTTCTGCCGCACAACGAAAACCTTATTTTTGACCTTGGCAGAGGACATACAGTTGCCTCTGAAATTCTATGTCGTGGCCTGGATAGGCACAGACATATCCATATCGGATGTCTTCAAGGAAAATGATTGACACACACACACACACACACACTGAATTCAACCGTAGCTACTATTGCTATTATTATTATTTTTTTTGCATTTAAATTTTGTACATTATAATCTGATCTAGGACACATCAATGCATGCAGGCCTGTTGCAGCGATGGAAAACCAAACGTAAGCTACCACTAAAAGTAAGAAAAACACCGCTTTGCTAATAATTTGATTTGTTCTTCTAAACTTTTCTCCTCTTTATATATATAAAAAAACCCCTAAAATTAAGTTGATGTAACTGTAGATAAATAAGATGTTATGAAGATTTGAGGTGATGCTGAGGATGGTTGTTAGTTGGAGTGGAGTTAAAATATGAAAATACACTGAAGATTGATCAACATGAAATTGGAGTAGAATAACTATACAGGCGTATTGGGAGGGGGGAACATATAGAGGTTTAAGGGTTAACACAAGAAATAGGTGAGCAGAGTTAACATGGTAGGGTGGGTAAACGCGGAGATTACAAGACCTAACTCCGTGCCGCGATGCATATGGCACTATTGATTTGATTTGTATAACACCTAACGGCCAGGTTAGCACCAGAATCTCTTGTATGTGTTTAGCTGGAACAACTGAAAGATCCCCCCCCCTCCGACGAGCCCTAGCCGAAAGATCCCACACAGTGCTAACCATAACATCTATGCAAGTTGTCTAGTTTGTGGAATGCGTCTCGAAAGCTACCACACCAGAACACCGGGACACATTACACTTCGCGGACAGTGCTGCCGCCGCGCTGCCGTCACTGCAGAGCGGTCGCCGCCGTTCAAAGAACTTCAACGTCGCTGGCAGATGTTCGGCACCCGTGGGAACCGCTGACTTTCGCCTTGTGGGTGGTGTTGAATTACTGCAGCTGCATCCGCCAAACCTGTGACTCTGGTCGTGAACCTCGCTGATATGCTAGGTCAGGACACGCCCAGTGTCGGTGGTTAACTACTCCCCCTCTCAAGATCGACCGCCCTCGGTCGCTTCATAGTTCTGAACTATTTCGGAGACTTGTAGAGCGATGCGACGTCTTCTTGCGAAGTAGTATGTTCCCGAGCTCAAGGCGAATACCACTATCACTAGGCCGAGTGATATCGGTGAGGTGGTATTGATGGCAACGCTGCCCCTGACTTCATTGATAAAGTTCAGATTCTCTGCGCTCAGCCGGTGGATGTAGGGCAGGCTAAGCGTTGTGTCGTGGCCGCTAATGTTTAGGCGAGCGGCCGTCGCTACGGCAGGGGCTCGATTCCGAATGCTGTTTCGGTTTAGGAATCGAGCGTTGTCGACGGTGGCATATGAACGAAACGTGAGGAGGTTTGTTCCATGGACCCTTATTGCAGCGCAGTCGTCGTAGCTGATGGTGGCGCTATGATCGTTTATGATGATGATGCCGTCGTCAACCACAGTGACAGGGTCGAGGTGGCTTGGTTGCGTCTGACAATGAGCGATGTCCCCTGAATGGAGACCTTGCGCACAGGTAACGTTCTCTGACCCCTTGCAGAATGTGGCTGTCGCTGTTTGGGTGCAATTTGTCGCGGCCATGACCTTCCCGTTGCATTCGGCTACCAGGTTGTCTTGTAGCTGGAGTACCAGCCCGTCGTGCGCGACTGGGTAGATGGTGATTTTCCTGCACAGCTTGCTTACAATAGGGAATTGGATTACAAAATTTATGATATTTTCTTTACGATCTATCTTAATATTAGACACTTTCATTAAGTCTGTAATTGAGGTCCCTGTAACTTGATTGGTGAGAATTGATTCGATATCCGAGTGGTCTATAATCTCTGGATTAATTATGTTAACTTTTTCAAGAGTCAAGGTGAGCATGAGAGCCCCCATTTCGGTTATTAGCATTCTATTGCGCGTAGTGAGGGTTTCGAACAGGTGACCCGTGTCCACCTGTTGGTCTTTTGCTGTCTTCACAATTTTTTTGACTGTGTCCGTGAGTTGATTAATTTTTTCTTG